TATATATATATATATAGAAAGATAATTATTAATCTATATTATGAGATGGATATAAAAATAATTATTGTTTCATAACAGTAATAATAACAAAGAAATAAATAAGAACAAAAATAATAATAATATCATCATCAATAATAACTACACGTAACTAACATCAGTGCCCGTAAATAAAACTCGAATTGACTGAAGTGATATTTTATCTGACTGTGAACTGCGTTGACCACTACTACCACCGCCACTACCATCACCACCACCAGCAGTAGCAGCAGAGGAAGAAGAGGGAGACGTAGAATCTGATCGAGTTGAATTATGAACAATTAAGGGACCATTTTTAATCGGATCAACATCATCACTGACGACAGAACATTTCTTTGAGCTTGAACTGGTCGTAGTTTGAGTGTTTGCACGATCGCTAGTAGTACTACGACAAATATCAACATTCACATTGAGATTGGGCTGTTTAGGCGTAGTGTTGATAACTAATGAAGGAGAACCGTTACAAGTACAAGTCGTTCTAGAGGAACTAGTACAACAACAACAACAACAACGACAACTATAACAATTTGAGTCTGCACTATTCATCAGACGATGTATATTGCAATATGACGACGTTTCAGGATTACATGGCTCAGAACAATATTGTCTTTGTAAGTTTACATTATCGACATGAACACAAATATTCTTGTCCTTGTTACTGTTACGAACAAAATCCAAATTGTTGTTCTTCTTTGCTCTGACTTCTGATGTTGCTCTCGAAATAATATCTGCACATGTGCCAGCGAGCGATGGTGACTGCAGCAGCGTCTTATCTCTTCTTATCTTATCACAACAACAACCATCATCATCCGATTCATCTCGTTTCTCAGCTACCGCCACTTGATTCGTTAACAACGTCGTCGCTCTTTTGTGTAAACAACAATGCAACTTGTCAGATGCATCATAATAATGCTTATGATGATAATCTGGATTAGTTCTTAGCTTATCACTTTCTTTGCTTATCTCCAGCTCTACTGGTGTACCACTCTTATTCGCAGCCTCATCATCACTGCTGTCGTTATCAGTGATGTCTTGATCGCCGTTTTCATCAGTAGTATTATCACCGTTGTTATCAGTTTTTTTATTCTTGTTGTTGTTGGCTGCCAATGTTGTTGCCGCTACTGCACCAGAAGCACCCTGAAAAGAAGTTTTTTAAAAAGTATAAATCAGTGATCAAAATGAAGAAATATTATAGTCCACTCGCATAAAGATTCGAAATTATTTCAAATGAATTAAATTTGAAGAAGAAACAAGACCAAAATAAATCAAATGAAACCAATAAGCTGAACCCAGTTAATCAATGACAAAAAAAGGAACAAAAACGATTATCGCACATGTGAAAAATAACTCAACTCAGCTATCAACAACTGAAGAGACAAAACAAAACGGAACATGAGTAAAACGATGAAACTGAAGAAAACGGAAACAAAAACAAATTACTGCCAAATGAAATTCAATTCATTAACAACTGAAATTCTCATTACTTATTATTCATTTTGTTATTATCATCATAAAAAGTTATCACCAAAAGCTGAAATTGAAACAAGCCTAAATCAACCAAGTAGCTAAGATTCTTTCAAACATACGTAAGCAGCAGGTATTACTGTTGAAGAAACCAACCAAACAAAAAGCCAAAGAAACCCCGACAGATGTAACAGAAGGCTGACAAAATGAGATAATTTTTCGAAAAAAAAATAAAATCACTATTATAAAATTACATAGTTACATATTTTCTCTTACTGCGCTTGACGAAGCATCGAAAATAATTCATTCTTCTAACTGAAAGATGAAAAAAATTTTCTCCAATTATCATACATTCCACACGTTCAAGTTTATCAATCATCAGAAAATAACATTAGTAATAACAACAATAATAATAATAACAAGAACGATAATAATAATAACATTTAAAATAATAACAACAAAATAATGAAACAAGTTAACAAATGAAATCTACCTTTGAGCCATCAAACGTAACGTCGCCGGTTAAACACGAACTCGCGTTCGATGGTTTATTGTTTACCTTATCATCAGATGCACTCATACAGGTCGGTTTCGCAAGTTTATCGGCAGCTGATAAAACTATCGATAAAAGGTCATTATCATCACTATTATTACCATAATCAGCAGCAGCAGAATTATTATTATTACCATCATCATTCAAAGTTGATGAAATACTGCACGGACCAACAATCCCAGTTGCAGCAGTAGAATATGTAGACGACCCAGAAGCAGATGCATAGAAAGTGTTAACATATTCGGCGATGTTCTGAGAAGAATCACGATTATTTTTAACATTATCACTGCCATTCGACGATGATTTATAAGTGGCCAGAGGTGAAGAAGGCGATGTTTTTGTGATGAAATTATCAGTTGTCGAAGTGGAGTTGCTGCTGCAATGACTTTCACTATGTGGAGCAACCAGAATCGAAGTGGTATACGATCGTGTTTGATGCTGTTGCTGCTGATGCAGCGACTTGTCCTTCATCGTCTTGTCACGGCAATAGCTCGCATCAAAAATTTGCGGTTGCAAAAATGAACTTTGTTTGATTACTTGTTCATCATTATCATTACTTGTGACAATATCTTTCGTGGTGAGCAATGATAACGGCGTTGATAGAGTTGACGTTAATTGATTATGATCACTAAATTGGTTTTTTGATAAAGTTGGTAAGCATGACGACGAAGACGATACATTTTGCTGCGGTTTGTTGCTCACAGTCATCGTCATCGAACAGCCCCCTCCTGGTCCCGCTGTGCTCCCTCCGCAATGCCCACCACCACCACTAACAAACGACCCCAACGAACTATCCAAATCGAGATCATCACTTGTTGAATCTAAAAATGAACTATTACAACAACAGTAGTCGTTATTACTCTTGTGGCCTGTAATAATTGCTCTATTAATCAACAATAACAATAAAAAAATAGTAAATGATAGTATACAGCTTCTAATAACAATGGTTGATAGAGTTGATTCAACTACTAACACGATTCATTTTTGCCTCTTGACGTATTTTTCAGCAGGTCTGGTGTCGGTGGTTGTGGAACAAATGAACCACCACACAATACATCTGTATCTGCTTCATCTTCCAGCAGATCTTCGTCCTCATCTAAACAACAGCTTTAATGAAAATAACTATTATTATTACTGCATTAATATTGGTACACCACTCCGTTTCGAGCAAACTTTCCTCCGCGAACGGGAATCGAAGCTGCGCCGTACCAATTACCGTTTGGGGCTCTACCTCTGAGCTGTAGAAAGTTTGCTCAAAACCGAGCGATATACCAATATCATTGTTGTTGTGAGCCTGAACCAGACTATGACTTGACTTGTTTCTAATTATCTGGTTACAATAATAATTATTATTAAACCAACTAATCAAGTAGCAGCTAAGCAAACAACCTTCATCTTCGCCTTCACCAATATGCGCCTCCGTTTCAGGATCCACAGCAGGTGGTTGCTCAATTTCTGGATAATTCTGGAAGAAATCATGCCAATCTTCTGCCCTGTCCACATTGAATACTTCCTAAATGAATGAGATTAACAACTTGAACAATAAATAGAAATACTAACAATGAATGGCAATGACAATAAAAGAGAACTCACGAAAGCATTTTTAATAAGTAATTCAACGGCTTTACTCAATAAGTGTGCATCAGAAAGGAATGACGAGTTCTTATTACTACATGACGGTATATAAGGATGCATCCAAATCATCGACGGCGATATCACCGCACCCAAATTTGACGCTGTCATCAAATTATCCATTTCAAACCTATAATTTATTCAGTAATATCCATCTTTATATCATTTCCCAGTACATCTTTACAATAACAAAAATAATTCACTAACCACGTCACTCGATTCAAGTGTAGTAGAAGAAATTGTAATGTATCGAAATTTTGTTCGGGTAATTTATGCAGCAAACAACGTATCTGTTCAGTGATACATTCATCACCGTCATTCAAATTTTGCTGAAATAACAGAAATAAAAACCAACAAACGACAATAAACAAATAGAAATCAGCTAACGAACAATAAAAACTACTATACAAACCCCGGTCGCTAGCAAAATCCATTCGTTGTAAAGTTCATGCGTTAGCAGTGGTTCTGGAAGCTTCCTCAAGTAGAGTTTAATAACGCTCGCAATATTCATTGGATGAAATACACTTAAATCAATATCAACGAAATTCGGCGATCGTTCAAATTCTTCACAGATTTGCTCGATTTTACTCTTTACACCACATGTTCGATAAATACCCTTCAATTACGTTCATTAATATCATTCATATTATATCCTGATAATACCACACATTAGACACCTATTAATAAATAAGCAAAATTATTTATCAAAATCCACTGCATCTCAAAAATAAGCAATAATCAATGACAACAATAAGATAAATAATTGATGAAAAAGTAAAGTGATTCAAATGACAATAATCACATCATAAACAATAATTCAAATAATAATATAAACAAACTCACTTTAACTTTTAAACCACGTCGTTGCAACTCATCAACACACTTCTCAACAATAAGCGGTACTTTGCGATTCTGTCCATCCAGATGCCCTTTCAGGGACACACCGAATATACTCATCCGTCTCGATGCTGCTGCCGCATAATCACTTTCTACAGCAGCACCACTTAAAGACGAGTGCCCTGTTCCCTTACTTGATTGTCCACAAAATATGGTCAACTTGCTGAGGCATGATTTATGAAATACCATTCCACATTGCAAACATTGTACAGTCGACAGAATTGATAATGTATCGCAATTTGAACACTTCGTTGGTTGTCTTATTCGTTGTAGACGATGCGATCTGCAACATTCATTAGAAAAACCGTTTAATACAAACATAACAAACAACTCAACTTACTTCGCAGCTTCAGTATGTTGTGCACTCGTTTCTGTTGTCGACTGATCCAGTAATCTCACTGAAACTAAATTACACTTTCAATTCAATTCAACACTTAATTCATTATGAATAGTTTCTTTATTATAAAGGAATATAATAATAATGATAATAATACAATAATAATAACTAACCACTACTTTTCTTTTGCTTCCTTTCGAGTATCATTTCATGGTCGAACACATCAATTGCATTTCGCCTCTGTGATGAAACAGACGACGAAGATGCCGTATGATTGGCTGATGACAAAACGTCGTCATTATCAGCAGCAGTCCTAAATTACAACTGTTCTCATCATATCATAATTAGTGTTTGCACTGGATCCTGGAGGCCGATTTTTGATTCCCGATCTCGGGATTCGTGGTGTAGGGATTTTTGGGATTCATAATACCAGTCATTTTCTCATCATTTTCATGAAATGATGAAAAAATGGACTTTTTTCATTACGATTTTGTTTCAGTTGTTTCAATAATTTTTAACTCTCTGTTACTTTATTTCAAGTTTCTCTGAATTTTGTTCAAAAGATTCTTTCTTCTATTAAATATCTTCTGGTAGAGTTCGGCAAACAATAAAAATTTCAGAAACATCTATGAATTCAACAAATTTCACTTGATATAAAAAACATCTTATACTTTATCAACAATGCAGTATGATTAACCGGGTAATGAGTAAAAGTAAGCGTAGTGAAACCATTTTCATAATAGAATACATGAATAACTCAGTGATGAGCTTTTTAACATGTGAATTTTATCACATCGCAGAAAATTTATCTAATCGTAAATTTTATCGCCGTATGAATTGTACCTATCCTATATTATTGACGCTTTGTTCTGTTGAATTGCTGATTTTGTTGAGCTTTGATGAATGATTTGTTAAACAAACTGTTTTCTTATTAATTATGAGCACACTGGCTCAAGAACAATACGTTCAGCAAGTTATATTTCAAAAGTTGCTTTCCAGTCCCGGGATTGAAAAATGATCCCGGGATCAATCCCGATACTGGGATTTTGCAAACACTAATTAAAATATCTGTTAGCACTATTCGCAACTAACCTAAACAGTGATCCAGATGAGACAGTTCGATGTGGAAGATTCTGTAAGAAGGACATATATTCTGCTCCCGGTGTATAAGTGCGTGTTGCATCGGCAAACTCGTGATACTTACCCGGTTGCGCTACCCAAAGATTAGCCAGTGCCTTAATGAATTTATCATTGAAATTAATGATTGAAACAGTACCGAATACTGTTGTTTTGGAATGATAAAATGTCCTGACTGTGACTGTAAGACCAACACTAACGCCAATCAATCAGCGTGAGCGTTCAAGCCTTAGCATAGGCTTGAAGCGATCGGAATTTCTAACATCCATTCACTAGCTATATCATTATCATCGGTTCAGACATGTAAAGGTGAACAAAAACATCAGGAATTATATGAGTTTATAGCAGTGATAAGCAGTAAGTACGAGTTATTGAGCAAATCCGCAATTACTGGTAAGAAGGTAAACTTTAGCAGTTTATATAAGAGGCTAGTCAGCAGCAGTAGCAATCTGTGCCCCCTCGTCGATGGTCAATCGTTTTTCAAAGACCCGATACGGATGATGGCGTTAAGCGAAAGCATAGCTGCTGCTGCTGCTTATGAAGCTCTTCTCAGCTGCACGAAAGCAAGTCGTTGGCTATGAGGACAGCTTACTCTAATCAAAGCTATACAGCGAGTGGTTAGCATCACTATGGGTCTTATAAGGGCCGAATTATAGCTATAAGGGCCAACTTATACCATCATCAATAACTCTAATGACTGGGCTACAGAGGCACGAGCACACCAAGCCCAGCTAGTCCATCTCATCCATCCATCTACACATTCATCATGCTTTATCGTCATTGCTCCTTTGCTAATATCAATCATCTATTCAGTTTACTCCTTACTTTTACCTTCTTACTTTCATTCATTCAAGCATTTTCTTTCTTTCCATTTTCGTAAATTCTTTTTCTTCTCCCATTATTCAAACCTATATTCTCGTTATTCCTTTCATCTTTACTTCTTTCTTTCCCACATATTCGTTCATATTCCTATCTATCTCCACAAATATATCACCTAATAACTAACTTACCATAATATAACCACTCTCGCATCATACTAATACCAATAATCCTTCTACTTACGTTCTCTAGTTAATATTTATATTCTATCATTTCTAACCTACCGCTAATATCATATAATATTTATAATGATAAAAATAATCATAATGACAATGAAAACAGTACTAATAAAAGCATAAAATATCAATTAGTAATAATAATAATAATAATTATTATTATTATAACAATATATCTACTGATAAAGGCGTCATTAACGTAGTCATCTCATCTATAACGACGCATAAATCACCAGAAATGAAGAATCATTAATGAAGATTCACCTTCCACCACGCATCCAATCCTCCCTATCTCAGCCACCAGCGCTAAACTTCAGAAGTCAAATAACTGCAACCTAGTCTAGCAAAGCATCTCAGAAAGCAGTTGATTCCGTTGAATAAACCATGCACATACACTGACGAATGACAAAACTTCTACAACAACAGTTCTTATTGTAGATGAAGGAACACTGAATTCATAAAAGTACTTTATTCAGAGATGGCCAATAACGCGCTATTCCGTAATTCCGCTACTAGTGGAATTACTTTTTTTCGGTGGCGCCATAGCGCACTCCTCGTTTCAAATAGCGGAAATTTGCAGCGGTAAGTAGTCAATCATACCTCAAGTGTTTGCTATGTACATCACTAAAATTCCGTCTAAGATCACTAAGCTATTTGGCTTCAAATAAATCGGAGGACAGTGCAATAATGTTTTTCCAATTTTCTTCTCGCTGGGAAAGGATATGATTGACATTCATTCGCGTAATGCTGGGGAAGGGAGAAAGGCTGAAAAAAAGAGGAAAAAATCAAACTAGATATACTAGCGAATCATTAAAATGGAAATGAATAAAACTGGGCGTATGAAGTAGCTCCTTCTTTCGATTTCCCTATCTTCCCTTGTTCAACAGTTAACAAGATTTTAATAGGAATATGAATCTGATATAATTTGGTGGAATAGGTCAGAGTCTGTGTTCAAATATTTGGAGAAATTATGAGGAGAAAATAGGCTGGGAGAGTAGATTCCAGGCTCTAACGATTCCATTTGCGAACAGTAGTTTTGTAACGTTTAATGTGCAACGTCTGACAGCGAGTTTAAGTGAATTATTTTGGCGGATTCGTTTATTACTTGAGAAAAATTCTTCCATTGGAAGATCAAACTGACGGTGAATGATGTTGTAGGCTGTTCAAAAATCAATATATCTAAAGTTTTCAAAAATCAATATATCTTCGCAGATCTAAAGTTTCTAATCCTAATATCGATAATCTCTCCTGGTATTCGGATATCTTATTGAATTTCCCACATTGTCTCTTGAAGATGAAACGTGTGGATCTTCTTCGAACATTTTTAATGAAATTAACGTAGCGTTTGTCATCGTATTGATCAGAGAGAGACCGAGGGGAAGAGGTATATTCTAGGATGAGCGAATAATGGTTACGTACTATGTTTAGTAGAGATAAGGTTATGAAGTTGAACGTTCTCAATGTAAGTGGATGCTCTGGTGTTAGCTTTTTAAACTACAATGAAAACATGATGATGACATTTCAAACTTGTGTCGCTTGTGACGCCTTGGTCTTGGATTAATGAGGAGGGAGCTAATTCTCGGTTCTGGATGTTGAGGGGTTATCAGGATTACTCTTACCAATTCTAATCAACTTCGTTTGTTCTGAAGCTAACGGTAAGAATCGATTGGATGATTGTTGGTTTACGAAATTAAATATATCTGCAAATTGTTGGAGAACGTGAACATGCAAATGAGTGGTGCAATTACAAATTTTGAGGGAAGATTCCAAAGCAGCGAATACCGGTAGTGAGGAGCAGACTAATTTTGCTAATCAGCGTTTCAGCGAAAAACTTTCGCTACTTTTTCCAGTTAGCGGCGTTTTCTGCGAAAAGTTTTTCACTACATTTTCGGCAATAATAACGACATCGCATTATTTTCAGTGGATCAGCAATAGCGGAGCTATTTTTCTTCAGTAGCGTGTCCATCGCTGACTTCATTATTATTATTATAATCATTATTACCATAACTATTAAGCGAATTGAATGAAATTCACAATCAATTTAAAATATATGAACGAATCAGATGAATTGCGCATTCCATTTCACAGTACTCGATTGCGCATCAGTTCAATTCATTTGTAGTGAATCGAATAAATTTCATGCTCATATT